GTTCTATTCTAGCGCTTCACTTGTTCTCCTGTAAAGCATCCTCTAACTCTCTTTATCTCCTCAATGTCATGATGAGATCAAAAGAACCAAAATACATTAAAAAGACTATTTCTGAATCTCCAGATCTTTGCTTTAGCAGCGCAAAGAAGGACATCGTTGTTCAAGCACATTTCACATGATGCTGCCAGTTCTGTAAGTTATAGTTAAAGGAGATACTGCACAATCAGGGTGATACTGCACTGCGTGGGGACCTAAAGCTCAGGCAGACCACGGGCAGCAGAGCACAACAGCTGCCTGTCAGTCTTTCCATAGTCGGTAATAGCCTTACTTCCCTCAGGAGGGAGCACTGAGTGGGACTGCTCGAGCACATCGAAAAGGGGAGCTACATAGACACACATCCAGAGTGCTATTCTTAATAATAACACATTTCGTAGTGCTTAAGTGCTTTTATCTGTAATTTCACATGACTTTTTATTCAGGTATATGCTGGGAGGAACCGCAGAGATGGCAAAAGCTGCAAAAGGAGCAAAGCGTGCTGGTGCATGACTGGCAATGTTAATTTAAAGATTCGAGGCAATACAAACATGTGAACCACACATCCCCTAAGGATAAGCGCCCCCTTCTCACGCTTTACTGGGGTAAAATAAAATGACATCTAATTCAACTCCGTTCAAAGTCTTCCTGTGGTGACGACGTGCCCCGCGGAGCTCCTCGTGCACCCATGTGGCTTGTATCTCTGGATTGTGTGATTCACTCTCCTTCTCAGCTGCTTCGTGCTGTCCGGGAGTCGCGGCTGGTGTTGATAATTAGGGGAAGAAAGCTAAAGTGGTCCAAGGGTACCAAAGGATTTTAATTAAGCCATTTAGAGTTGTTGTTTTTCTTTAAAAACAGATGTAGCGTTCAGGAGCGCTTGTAAACCACAGCTCTATCTCATATCAGATCTATAGATCCCTGTGTAGTCCAGAGATGCCTGGTTGCTGCTGAGCATCCTGCCAAAGAGGCTTTTAATGGGACAGCAGCAGTGGAGACTCTTTGTCTCACCAGCCCTGAAGGCTGTGCGCTATAACAGTACAGGAATGCTTCAAACTGGATGCAACATAAGGAGCAGGGACAAAGGATGTCGTGGGTATAAACAATTAATCTTAAATCTTCTTCAAAATGAGTTTATCATTTACACAGAGAATATTTTACAATCAAAGGCCACGAGCCGTCCCGGGCACCCAGCGGCGGGGCTGCGGTATTTTGTCTGCATCATGAAAGGCGCCGTCTCCACCTGTCGTGTCGACAGAAATTCAGTCAGGACTTTGTATCTGGAATTTGGAAAAACACTTGTATGGGTGCTTTGGTGACGCTAGATCAGACCACCATCTGCTAGGAAGAAGCAATAAAAAGGAACGTCTTTAATTTCACTCTCTGCTGGAATAATTAGGCCATTTATATTCCGCACTTCATGATTTAAGAGAGGAGCAAGGGAAAAGTCGATACTGGGACTATACAGGCAGCAGCATTTCAGCCATCAGCTTGTCCAAGTCACTTTGCCCGTTTGATTTATGTGTGGCCTTGCTACATGACTTCACTAGGTAGCACCACTGTAATATGTCCCACTCCCTGCCATTAATCCCTCCCCTCGATAACCCCAACATGTAAGGAAACTCCATCTTAAATCACGTGCAGTCACCTGGCTCCTGTGCCGAGGCGCTGTGAACATGCCTTCAATGCTCTCTGTGAAGCATATCCCAGACTTACCGACCCCCTCTGAGCCCATTATCCCTCACCCTGTGCTGTACAAAGGTAGCAGTGGGGATCACCTGTGCAGAGCACACAGGCTGGCCAGACTGTGAGAGTCATTTTTTTTTAGGAGAAGAAGAAAAATAAACAAGCGACTCATTAGCCCAATTTGAGCTGTTATGCAAGGATCTTTAGTCCATCTCATGAACATTCCTCTCGCTCTGACTCACTTAATTCAGATAACTTGATTACATTTGGGAAACAACGACTTCAAACATTTACACCAACTCTGAACCTGCTTCTTATTCCAAATATGGCAACTCAAATAATCCGATTAACCAACAATGGCGCCTTTTATGAAGCGTACAGTGATTCGGTTCGAGCGTTCTGAACAGTCACGTCTGCTTTCGTCCTCAACTTCAGACCTTTTTCTGACCCAATAATCGGACATCTGCATGAAAAGATTTGCACTTTACTATATTTCATGTGTTTGAACTTCCAAAAGCAGCACTATTACTTTATACAGCTTCCTTCTCTTGCTCTCCTTTCCCCCCCATTTCCATCTCCGATGTGTCTTTCTTGGTCACTTTACCCAATTGCGTGTGAGCAGTAATTTGTCATGTCCCTCTAAGCGTAGCCAAGATGAGATGGCAGGGGCCCTCGGGCTCTAGCCACTACACTACCTGAACCTCCGACACTTACATAATGGCAGGTTTGGAGAAAGAGCTGGGGGATGGAAGAAAGCTATATACAGCCAGGGAATACACGAGACAAAAGCTCACGGAGATCCTGCAACCGAAGAGGGAAGAGCTGCATTAATCATGACAATACCTTGGGAAGACAACCTCCATTACATCAGAGGAGGCAGACAGCCTCTCGGAGAGGAGAAGGCAGCAGTCAATGCCACTGAATATACCAGGCTGATATTGCTTGAGGGGTTTAAGAAGGAAGGGCTTAGGGCTTCCTGTGCAGGCAGCCCAGCACACTTCCCATGAAATTGGCCCTTGGCATGCACACAGGACATTCGAGACACTCCAGCCTAGCCTCTGACAAGATCAGCTCCTTGGAGAGAAACTTTCGTCATAGAAAAGCTTGAACTTTGCCCAAAAATGTGAAATTTACTGTGCCAGTAAATGATGATAGCATGGGAAAAAGAAGTTCATACGGGACACTACAAGCCTCACACACGTCAGTCCAGGCTCGGCCACTTGCTTCACGGTGTAGCCCGAAGAGAGTCTTTAATATGCTGGTAATTTTACAAAATGTCAGAAATGTTTTGTCTGAGACGGGTTTGCACATATTATGTAGGGTGAAACTAGACTTGGGCCCTGCTCTGCAACAAGATTGCAGTGACAGCAACATCACAGCTATCGCAAGACACCTTGCATCGGAACTGTGAACAAATCGCTGTTGCAAGGCGATGAGCCTGAAAACCAATTACGCAAGAGCGGACATAAAACGGGGAAAAAAACGTAAAGTGAACGATAAAAGCCCCTCGCGCGGGCAAAAAGGAGCACGGCTGGGCCGGCAGCGCCTCACAGCTACGCTGCAGAAACGCTGGAGAGCTCTGCTGTAAGGTGATAAAATAAAAAGGGACCACGCTTATAATAGCCCACAAAATCTTCACACATCACAGCGTCACATCTGCACCCACTGGGTATTTGTTGACTGCATTTTGCTCTTCTCCCCCTACATCCATTCCCTCTATAATGCATTTATTTATTTATCTTGCTTCTAAGCGAACAACAGCAGCATCAGCACTTAAGATCTCATCAGTTACCAGGAGACAGGTCACACACGCCATACTGCAGTGTGCGTGTAGAAAACTGGAAAATCTCTCATCTCGCTGCAGGTGCGTCCCACAAGGAATTCTAAGAATGTAGCGCCGAAGGTCGACACCAGCATCACACTGGAGCTAATGTTGTGTGCACCATCCCCACATCTCATTTTAAGACAAGGGTCTCTGAGGGGTAGTTCACAGGAAAAACAGTGGAGGCTGGGTAGAAATAAACAACCGGATCAATAGCTAAACAAATCAATTGCTACCAAACCATCTACACGTAATGACCACGGCATCACCGTCTCCAATACCTGGCCTGTACTGCAGTTGGGAGACTGGCAAAACTATTTCCCACAGCCGGACGTTTTTGTGCCTTTGCAGCAAAATAAGAGCAACGCACATCTGCATTTACAAGGATATCAGGATATCGGCTCTATTAAACCCTGCCTGATTTTCTTCCTCTCTCGCTCTTTTGTCCTCTTTGTCATTCATGAATCAAGGCCATCCTAGCCACTCCCCCTGTTGTTCTATGTCCTCTACAGGGAAGGGAGGAAAGACGGGCAAAGACAGGGGAGCAGCTGTGAATTTTAGCATCCTGCTGACTGATGCTGATGAAGATGATGCTCTGGGGAGGGTCAGTTTTGGCATGGCGGGATACACATGCTCCTCTGGCCTCTGGACCTAGAAAAACAAAGCCTCACAATACCAAAGCCTGACCAGCTCATCTGGCCACAATCATAGCAGCTATTTCTTCTGCCTTAATTAGAGTACCCTTCCCCATGGTACCGTCAGGCTATGATTGGAAATCTTATCTAGCCCTCTCAGCCATTACTTAGGCATACATTTTAACAACAGCAGCACTGAATTATGATTAACTAGGAAGCTCAGTGCAACAATGGGATGAATATCATTTTATTTTGTTAGTTAGCAGCATTTTTCCCCATCATGGGGGGATTTCTGGTATCTTTTAATAAATGCTTGAGCCACGAGCCACACATTTTTTTGTAACTGGTCTTTTTTTGGTCTTTAAATTAATCCTGCACGACACAAAAATCTGCTTATTATACAGCCAGAAACAACGGGAAATGTACAGGTTTCTGTCAAACAAGGCGCTTTTAAAGCCCCGGGCAGTTTATACTGCATAGCACAAGGATTTTTCTCCCTGTTATTGTTTCATAAACTCTTTATATGCCAATATGACCCTTTTGTAAAATAAAAAACAAATAGCACTCTGTAACAACATGCACTACTGTAATCAGTTCTAAAATATTAACACAAAAACAAATTCACAAAAATAATGTATAAATAAATAACCAGATAAAATCTGATGTTTGGACAGTTTTATTTTACTGAAGCTCTCTCTAGGGGACAAAAGTCATTTTTTGTATATAAACCTAAGACATGTAAATATATAACTTATATATGACTAGTCACGTAATTGTTTAGTGAAATTAATGATAAATAATGTAGAAAATAGTGAAAATGACGCGAAATCAGTCATTAAAGGAGTTCGGTTCGAGTGAAACGGCAGAAGTAGTTCCGGTCCTGTTCTGGCTGCTCGAAGGTGGAGGAGGTGTCGGTAGTACAGTAGCGGCGCGGAGCTGTGAGCTTTGAGCCCTCTTTGAAGTTGGGAGGCAGAGACCGCTCTGCTCCAACGCGCGAGCCCACGCACGCGCAGACACACAAACCGGCGAGGAGCGACTCACAAAGAGAGAGAGAGGGAGCGCGCGCGCGAGAGAGAGCGAGAGAGCTCCGGTTATTCCTCCGGGCTCCGGCCGAGCCTGTGTGGTCTCTCCGCTCTGTTGCTAAGGAAATGGATGGCTCGAACGGCTCCGCGGTCCGGGATGAATCGTGCTCCTCGCCCCCTCAGAAGCCTGCCGTGTTTACCGGAATCACTGCGAACACCGTGACGCGCCAGCTCTGCACCAGCCGGGGTAAGAGATCATTCCCACAGCGCTGCTTTCTTTCAGACTGGACCGGGAAACAAAACGGAAACAAGTGGCCCGCGTTTACTGTTCTTTACAAGCTGGAACGAGCCGTGAATGAGAAAAACCGTTATGTCGGGAGGTCAGACTAAAAAATGTATATAAAAAATAAAAAATAAAAAAATAGTAATATAGAGGAAAAAAAAAAGCTTTATTTTCAAAGTTTATTTCTGCGACCGAGTAAATAATAACTGGTGTTCCAGCTTTAGATGAGGCTGTGCAAGTCTTTAAAGGCTAGTCTCAGTGTGTTCGGTAAACAGCGCTGAAATCAAAGTGGTAGAAAATACAGTCGACTGTGTGAGTGGAGTGAAGGCACTGCAGCTCAGAGTCCACATACTGTGACTACTGAGCATGGCAAATACCTCAAACACAAACTCATCTTCCTCACAGACAGTAGCTCTGTAAAAGCAGAGGAGTAGAGCACACATGCACAACGACCGGCGGTGTTTTGCTTACCTACAGTGAGCCTGAGCCAGCTCTTAGCGCCAGTGCTTGATGCTGTCCTTTGTTTCCAGCCAAAAAAAAAAAGAAAAAAGTCTGCGCTTGTGTGAGGTGAATGAGATGTGAATTTCTCATTTCCGTCTCTCTCCTCCAGCCCAGTGGAGCTGCAGCTGAGGAGCCGGGGAACTGGGGGATTCTGACTGGCAGCTGGTGCACCACCAAAGGAGGGGAGGGAGGCGGCGGGGGTCCACGAGCAGCGGTGCCGGAGCGGGGTGAATGCTGCCCGGAGAGGACAACGGCTGAGGCGGCAGCGGCGTCGACTTGAAAAGCAGCATGGCATCCACGGGCATGCAGATATTTGGATTCGTCCTAGCTCTGCTGGGCATCATGGGCGCCATGGTGGCCACTCTGCTGCCTAACTGGAAGGTGAGCGCAGATGTGGGCTCCAACATCATCACAGCTATCTCCCAGATGCAGGGACTGTGGATGGACTGCACATGGTACAGCACAGGCATGTTTAGTTGCACACTTAAGTATTCAGTGCTTTCACTACCCGCATACTTGCAGACTGCTCGCACCACTATGGTGCTGTGCTGCGTACTGGCTGCCATGGGCCTTTGCCTTGCCTCCCTGGGACTAAAATGCACGCGCTGGGGAGGTGGACGGCGCTCCAAGCGACACGCCGCCATCGCCAGCGGCGGCTGCTTCGTCGCTGCAGGCTTTCTGTGTCTGGTGCCTGCGTCTTGGTTTACCAACGAGGTCATCACCAACTTCCTGGATTCCAGCGTTCCCGAGAGCAATAAGTTTGAGCCTGGAGGTGCCGTGTACGTTGCCTTTGTTTCCGCAGGTTTCCTCTTTGTGGGGGGGTCCATTTTCTGTATGTCCTGCTCGGGAAAGAGACACGGACCCCAGGATCTGGTCCTGCTGCCCCCCCCTGACAAATTGCTTCTCCAGCAGCAGCAACAACAGCTGCTTCAGCAGCAGCAGGAGCTCCAGCACCAGTACTGCTCTCTCTCCCCATTAGACAATAAGACGGGCTACAGCCTGCAGGACTACGTGTAATAACGCAGTGCTGTGCACGCCAAAGGGAGACGAGCCCGAGGGGAAACATCACGGCTACGCACTAGGATCTACTCAAGGATGGAGTTGGAGGGGAAGAAAAAAAAAAAAAGAAAAAAAAAAGAGAGGAGAGCAACAACTTTGAAATCACATTTTTCCTTCTGCTCCATCTTCTTTTTTCTGTTTTGCAAGCACAAGCAGTTGAGGTATTCCCTGAGCAGCGCCTTGGAACAAACGGCGTGAATGTGCAAGGAGCCAGGATACCAGGATAAGGTGCTGCAGAACTGACGGAAGCTGCCAACCAAACGCAGACATCCTTCATCAGTAAATCACACAGAGTTCCCTGCGGAATGAATTAAGCAAATAAGGAAGCCTTGAGTGGAGTTTTTTTTTTCCTCGCCAAAGGTTTAAATTGAAGGAAAAAACATACGATTATTTAGCTGCTATTTACAATCGTTCAGTCCTTCCTCTCATTTGATAAAACAGGCAATATAAAGCCCAAGAGCAGTAGGTGGAAACCCTCACATAGCAAGCCATTGTAGTTTATCCTATGCTTGTCCACTAGAATGCAACATGGAATTGACTAATGAAATAAATGGGCATATTTTTGTTAGCTACTAGAATGACGTTGATATTTTGCCTCTAAAGCATGCTGTGTGGAGCCTGTGTACAAATACAGCGGAATGCCTGGTAGAAGACTGAGACATAGCCACACAATGCCTGTGCCTGAAAAGCTGTAGAAACATTACCCTGCTGTAACTGTTCAAAGAGGACTGTCAGGAGGAGTAGATGTGGGCTGCTGGGCTGGATTTAAGAGAGAAAATGCAGGCAAACAGATGCCTGCGTCTCTCTCTGCAGGTGGAAATATGAGAGAGATGGAGAGAAATTGAAAAGAGCGTGATCCAATACTTCAGCAGCAGAGTGGACCATCTCATATTTCCATCCAAACAAAAACAGTCTGCCTGTAAGTAGCAGCTACCCATCTCGATCCATCCCAGACGATCACGCCCACACATTTACACATGCGCTTGTGCGTCTTCTCGTATGCAGTAAACACTCCGACACGCCGGCTTTTTGCATGTGCTTTTCTCTCCTGTCATCCACCTCCACACTGCCATGGAAACCGAATTCAAGCATTGTCTGGGGGTATGTGCGTGTCAATCAGTCAAGTTGTTTTATTTTGGGTGGGCGGGTGGGTAGGGGGCATCTTTTTCTCTTGCCATGGCATGCCATAAGCTTTCATCAGAGCCTCTGCTCACACTACTTTCACTAATCCCCTTTATTAACCAGTGACATGAAGCAGAAGCCCTGGTCGGGGGGGGGGCCCTGGAAAATGGCTCTTCTTTGTAACACACCCCTATATGGTGTCTATGCCGTGCATGCGGTCTCACATGGATGAACAGATGTTTAATGGTGCAGTGGCACAGAGGAAAAAACAAAGCAGATAAGAGGAGGAATCCTGAGTCACAGCCAACTGGGTAGTCGTGTGGCAAGAGGCTAAAAATGATTTGAGTCATTCTCCATATGCGACTTGTTTTTCAAGTACGTCAGCAATGCGCATACACTACCAGCCTGCACCTGCAGAAGGGTCTCAGTGTCTTAAATTTCATCCACCAGACTGTCCTCGTTTACCTGCCAGTCGCCCTCGTCTTTTTTTACTCAATCTCCCCGTCCTGCTTGTGTCAGGATAGGACTCCTGACAAGAGAACACTGATGCATGTTGAAAGCATGTCCTTCTGAGACGCACACACACACGCACTCGTGTCAGTTTTGCAGCTACGCTTTCACAGTTACCGTGCGCTCTATTTTCTGAGGTAAGAAGATGGGAGGAATATTGTTTTTGTGCTTGAGACAGGCCTTGGCAGTGATGTATAGAACTGCACATTCTCTCCTTCTCTCTCATAAGAATGCAGCTTCCTGGGGGAGAGCAGATGGCTAAGCCCAGCTCGCCACCTGCAGGCTGCTGCCGGCACACCACGGGATTCGCTGTGGGAGCTGCCGGTAGCCCCGCGGGGTTGTTTTTTTGCCCCGCCCCGGTTTAGCCCTCTTGCCCAGCTCAGACTGCTCCCAAAGGAACTGGCCTCCTGACAACGACTCACTGCCCAGGCACCATTACCAATGCAATAAACAAAGTAAAGAATGTGCCAAGTCATCAAGTAATACTGACACGTTATGTGTTTTGAGAATGTGCCAAATGGTCTCATGATGACACGTTTTAATAATATCTGAAGTTCTTTTTGTTTATTTTTTTAACAACTTGTTTGTACATGAATTATACATTAGCAAATGTTTTATGGATTTGTGATTCGTCCGAATCAGCTGGATGCTTGTGTACAGTCCGGTGCGGCTTTCGAGGGTTATTTTAAATCCTCTTTATTCCTCATTTCCCAAAGCACAGCGAGACGAAACAGGAGGAAGACGAGTGAAAAGTAAATAACGCTTGTTTCAGGAATTCCGGTTTACTGCAGGTCTGTGACAACTGTACACAAGTGTCTAGATTTTTAATACGTTTAGGTTTCCTACTGAAGGATCGGGATTCCTTCACACTGGTTCAGTATAAGATACACCACGCTCATATCATATCTTCTTTATAAGAAGACTAGTCAGTGCACGTTTACGTTATTTGACAGCAGTTCGGTTCAAATGGCTGAGCATTCAACCTCTCTGGACCAGGACAAGTACATCACACAACTGGCACTCTGGATAAAAAGGGAAAGTCTTTCGGTCTGATATGATTATGCAGGGGAAAAAAATTAGCTAAAAATCTCTCTTTTTTGTGGCTGTGCAGCTTGATCATCAGCACGCGATTTCATTAGCTTATAAATGGCCAGAGTGCAAAGTGACTAGGTCCTAAAAAGAGTTAAGCTCTCCTGCGTATCCTGTACCAAGACGTTGATTTATGGTTTTGATAACTGCAGCTTATTTTTGTGGATGCTTTAGCACTTCTTACTTTGCCAGAGCATATTTGTGATGATAAACAGTTCACAAGTTCTGATACAGTTGTCTCAATGTGCTTGTGCAAGTAGTTCTATTTTTTACCAATAAAACTATTTTGTGAAAGCAGCGCGCCTGCTGGATGTGTGCTTTTATGTGTGTGGCTGATGGGGACGGCGATAGCATTCATCTTCCTGCCAAATGTACAGGTTGCTGGATGGTACAGGCTGCGCAGCGTGCAGGAGGGAAGGCAGGCTGCTCGTATGCAGCACCCACCAGTACAGCAGTGCGTCCAACAACAAGAATAAAAAAAATAAAAAGGATTCTCTGAAAATGGCTCTTAAAGAAAGGGTTTTATAAAGCTGCTCCCAATCTCCTCCAGTTATTTCTTAGTGATAACATGAGCGAATACACGAAGGAAGCAATAACGACACTTCTGGGAGTTGAAGGGAACGCGAGTTATCCGAGTTGGCTGGTTTATCTGGCACAAAGCGACGAGTTTAACGACATGTAAACTCTTCTGCCAACTGGTGGAAAGAAGAACATTTTTTGCCGCCTCTCTTTTTGGTATTTTATCACATTTTTGCTAGAAAAAAAGGATCCTTAGACCAACTGATCAATCAGATTAACTGAAAATGGACTAGTTTACTCCTCCGCTGCAGACCACACTTCTTTGTCCCAGTTCTTTAATAATTAATCAGTGCTATGAAATGGTATTTACCCCGTTTCTCATTTCTTAATTTGTTGCAGATTTGTCACATTTACACGTTTCAGATCAAACAAATGTTAAAAACGTAATTTCCCTTTAACCTAATAACTGGTTGTGCCACCTTTAATGATAACCAGCAACGAGCCTTTCACATGACTGTGGAGGAATTCGCAGAATTGTTTGCATTCAGCCACACTGGAGGGTTTTCCGGCATGAACTTCCCGTTTCAGGCCACGCCAAAGCGTCTTAACTGCATTTGAACCCAGACTGTGATTATTTCACTCCAAAACGTTCATTTTGTTGTTTCTGAGCCGTTCGGATGTGAGTCAGACTGAGAGAAGTGAGGCCTGCAGTTTTTTAAGTGTTGTTTGGGGTTGTTCTCTGCCGTCCTGGACGGGGCGTCGATGCGCTCGTTCAGTAACTTTGGTAGGCCGGTCACTCCTGGGAAGGTTCAGCTCTATTCCAAGGTTTGTGGATAACATGTGGATAATCCCTCTCACTGTGGTTCACTGGCATCTCAAAGCTTTAGAAATGGATCTTTAACCCTTTCCAGACTGAGAGATGGCAGTGACCTCGTCTCTCACTTGTTTCTCTTTTAGCCTGATTCACTTCACAGGTTCTATTTAATGTTATTCAACAGGTTTGGCTATAATCAGGCCTGAAACTGAAGCTTTCTGTGGTTAATTCATGATTTAACAAGGTACCGTAGCAGCTAGGTTTGGATAGCTTTTCCCCTTCATACAACAAACAAACTCTGTGATCTTTGTCTAATATTAAAATTGAAAATGTCTGTGAAAATGTCTCAGACTTGGTGGGAGTTTGGTTCAGATCACAATCCTGCACAGCACGTTCCCTCACGTTCACGCTGGTGTCATATTTAGCCTATACACTTCAGATGGGGTGGTTATTAAATTAGAATCCGGGCTCTCATTACAGCTGATTGGAGTCTCATCAACAGAGGGTGAGTGAAAATATGCTTTCCTGAAACAAACATGGATTATTAAAGCCTCTCTCTCTCCCCGTCTCATTCTTTCCCTGCGTTTGGTTATGCAATACGAGTGCAGATCAAATAACTACTCCTCTCGTGGGGGAACGCTAATAAGATCTGCTCTTCTGTGTATTTAACCTACATTTTTCATCAAAGGCTTTCACCCCGAGTTGCTGCTATGACAGATCTGGAGTGTGAGCTTTAAATGAGGGGAGGTGAGCACTTGTCAGTTGCAGGCAGGGGTTAATCACGCGCTTTTCTTTCAACTCCGAGCTCACATTTGTTTGTTGACCTTCCTGGTCAGCAAAATGTCTTTCCAGAGATCACCAAACAGGAAAAAAAGGAGGAGGAGGTGGCGTGGCTGGTAATAAGATGAACAAAAGACTCGGTGCACGTTAGGGAAATGCCATCGCTCACATCCACATTGCTCAAAATTGCACCAACGTGTCACAACCCTTAAAGTGCTGCTCTGATTCGGACAGCAGTTATGCTCATAAAGGTTCATACTGGAAATATAATGCGCTCATCAGCGCTGAGGGAGGATGACCTTCCTTTGTCGCTCTCCTCCAGTCCCTGCGCACATGTGAGGCCGGGGAATAACGGCAACGACCTTAGCTGCTCGGTAAATTGCTGACAGAGGCAGTAAAAGCTATGAAGATGACAAAAGGGAAGCTTGTAGGAAAACAATACGCTGTGACAGTTCAAAGGAGGCCCTTTAATATTTTAGCTTTGGAGCGTGCAGACCGACGCGTGCCCGGGAGGATTCGGTAAGCTGAAGGTGAGGGAGGCTAAACGCTTCAAGGGTGCTGAAGGTTTTTGTATTTTTAGATAATCTATATTTCTCCTGACTAAAATGATGATTACTGTAGACAGGCAACAAGGAAAGAAAGAAAAAGAAGCTCCTTTAATCATAAGATGCTGTTCATCACCTCACCAGTGAAACTAGTTAATATAGCCAGTAAATCTTTACCTGGAACTTTAAAATTGGGATCCATCCCACACCTTCAGTCGCCATAAAAAGCCTTAAAGTAAGTCACAAACCGCCGCGTGTGATGTTGAAATTGGACACTCAAGTAAGCCTTCAACTTAATAGCTTATAGATTGATGCCTCCCATCGCGGTGAGGGTTTTTCCCCCATGATAAATGTATTGTAATTCGATTTTTCTCATTTGTAGCTGAACTTTCTTTCCTTGGAGGATAGCCGGATTTTTAAAACACCGCACCCCCTCCGCTGCGTGCTCACTAACCAAACAGAGCTGAATTTGCTAAACTCGGCACAGTTACTTGTTAGGAGGAGGCAGTGGCTCTCTGGAGATGTTCTTAAGCTAGCTCTGCCAACCTTGGCGTTTTGTTTAAGGTGAGCGGAAATGAAGGAAGAGGAGAAGGAAGAAGCAAGGGAGTATTTTTAGATTTCTTTACCTTGGGTCCGTGATGTATTGAGACCAAGCCTTCGGGCATTTTCTGGGCTGGCACGAGTCATTGAAATAACTTTCCCTGATACTCTTGATACCGCGTTTGACCCCGTTTACGGGATAGGAATAGGCTTAGATGAATTGTGAGAGTGGAGGATGTGTGGCGGGAGGGGAGAAAGCAGCACAGCCCCTCTGAGGAGATTCACTCTTGCTGTAGAGACGGGCAGCGAGGCCACATTACATCACAGAGAAGATATTCATCACCACGGTGGTCCGAGCTGGGTCATGCTCCCCAGTGAACCATCTGTTTCAATTCAAAAGGATAAAATTAATTCAACAGATGAGAAAAAAAGTCTCCAAAACTCGGAGCTGTGGAGGAGTACATGTACAGTACCTTTAATTCAAGTCCAATCGCTCTCTGACTACTGCCAGCTACAACCGAAGTTCAATGCGGCATTAACAAATTTAATTTAGCCTCTGCTCATCTGGCCTGTGCTCTTGGTAGACTATTGTGTACAAGGCGAACATCTGTAGGGCGCTCCTCCTGTGAGGCTCGGTTAGTTGGTGGGTGACGGCCATTACTCAGAGCAGGGCTGATGACCGGCCCAGACAACCATCTGTTTGGAGGTACGCCTCGCTCTCCTCTCAGATCCATCTCTGTCATGAATCTGTCTTCTGGTGCTCTCTGGGCTTTGTTTCATTTGACAAATCTCATATTCAGACGATAATCTGCTCTCCAACCCTGCTTCCGTTTATTCTGGTTTTCATCACCAATATTTCCTTCCATTTTTGCATCATCACCCACCCTTATTCCCTTATTTCTCAGCTCATTTTCTTTTATTCATTCCATTTCCTGTTATGCCCTACCCCTTGCCTCAATTTCATTCTCACCTTATTCAGCAAATACCCGAGTTGTTAGCACAACGTGGAGCCCCCGAGGAGCTCTACAGAGGACACAGCAGGTTGTTTGCGACGGAGCAGCTACTGCACGACTACAGACCCGCCTGCGATGGAAAGAGGTTGATTTTAATCACATTGTACCCAGATGGGGGAGAGGAAAGGGGAAGAGAGATGAGCGAGTCAACGTGTGCTCTTTTCTCTTTTCAAATCAGCTCCTTTGCATGTAAGGAGGCAGTGAGGATGCAGATGCTTGATGTCAGCATGCACTCAGAAACCCCTTGACCCCTGACCAGAATATGAATTAGAGATGTGTATGAAAGCAAAAGCAAAAACAGAAAGGCAGTTCCTATTTCGGTTTTCTCAGGGAGCCTTCAGATACGTGCATAGCTGTGAACCCCAGAAGCGATGCAAGCATCACTCAGTCTGTCCATCTATGTGAGAATTAACAGGAGGAGAGCGACTAATAAGGAAGAGGAGGCAGGTGTGATCTGCAGTGGGACGGACCTAGGGCACCCTGAGCCTGGGGGAACACCATCAAAGCAGCCAATCGCCACTCTCGAAACCCTTCAAGGACAATCTCAGTCACTCAATGTGACACAGCAGAGGCGAGAGGGACAAGACTGGCAAATTAAGCAGCGGGGATAAGAGCCTATCTGCCCACCCCGCGTCAATACGGGCCCCCGCAGCCGCTGATGTAAAATGGATTCAACATTTCCTTTCTCATTATCCCATCAGCCTGCAATACTCGGCCTCCTCTACGTTCAAATCAGCCGGCCAATCAACCCACACTCCCCTCCCCCCTTCGCCTTGAAGTGATGCTATTTTCTCATCGTGGTTATTTGGAAAGGTTCACTGCTTTTTCAGCGGCTCTCTGGGACTCGCTTCGTTTGATCTCACAGTATTAAACCACTTCACATGTTTTGTTTTTTTACACTTCACTAATTGCCATGTGTGCACAGCACCTGCTACCGTGTAGTTTGTTTTACTGTCCTGTACAAAGCATTAGCATCGCTGCAGAATAATCCCAACAATGATTGGCACACACGTTCGCAAAAAGGCTCACGCAAAGTGAAGAAAGCAAGAAAGATACAGAGACACAGACCTTTGGTACTTGGCAGTCTAACTGCACCAGTATAATTAGTTCCTCTCTACAAAGGGGGGTATTTAGCCATCGCCATCTTCATAAGGAGCACTGTGAGCAGTGTACAGTACTAACACTCTGCACAGCAACCATAACAATTTATGCACGCAGCATTTTTCTTTCTGTATATTCAACATCTACAATATCTCGGTTACTTCTTCTCTTTAGCAGGAAATCTGTCAATATTCCCGTGAGTGACAACCTCAGTCGGTCCCGCTCCTCTCAGCCTCTCTGTCCTGTAAACCATGGAAGGACATTTTTACTCTTCATGCTTTTCTGCGTAATTACTCTGGTGTGCACCAGTAAACAAAGCAGAGCCACTGAGCTTTTTATGAATTATACTACATGACATACTACTACGATAGACTTCATCTACTCTGTGTGCTCTTGTTCCTGGTCTTTTATAGGACACCAGCAGCAGGAGGGCTGCTCATCAAACAGCCATCATCTCTCCTAATGACACCAATTTGACCAAGAGCCCATTAAAACATTTAGTAGGAATAGATGGCCCGTGTGGGCATGTGGGAGGCGCGGATTCATCTGCACGCATGTGTAGCATGAAGCTTCCCCTGTTCAAATGTATTCATACCATATGAGCATATTACATCAAAAGATAAAGCCTGCTAAAGCCCATTAAGCTCCACTTTGACATACACACAAAAATAAAATGCTCTAGAGAAACAAATGCACAGAAAGGCAGCTGAGTGCGATGAAATAATCATTGGAATCCATCTCTTCTAAGAGAATGAGCAATCAGCACTGGTCCCATTCACTCGGCTGCATTTTACTCCACACGGGAGATTAAATATTTACTGTCAGTGGGTCTCCTAAAGAGCCAGGACATCTTCGAGGGACCAGCAGTCTATCTCTGACATCCACCTAACACCTATCCTTTAATTCTGGGAAAGAAAAAAAATGGCTTTATTTGTACAAAAGATGCAAGCGAGCTCTTGAGTTTTCTAAAACACTTGAATGTGTGCGATTTAAAATAAACTCCAGCTGCGTATTAGCCAGCATTGATCCTTTTTTTAATGCATCACCTCTGGTCCTACGTTAAACACTGAAGCTGAAGACGAAATGCGCGATCGGCCCTGATGCTCGCACACGGGTGGAAAGATGCAGAAAGAGAAACTGGGCCTAAAAAAGAACAAGGCCTTCATTACAAGGCACAGTGTGATCGTGCCACATCTCAAATACCCACCAGGCATCATTACAAGCTAAAAAAAGGGTCCAAAGACAGAAGTGAGACAACACTGATTCAACACAGTCTTAATGAAGCCTTAAAGCAAGAAGAACGAGTGGAGGGATGAGCCAGGGTGACATGATGAGGGTCTGACCGGAGCGTGGCACCGTGAGGTCCCGCTGACGTCATGAAAGCTGGAACATCACTTGTTCACTGATATTGAAGATGATTATTATTATTATTATTATTATTATTATAATATACACTTCACCGTTTCTTTCATTTTGTTCTGAAAGAAGAAATCTTTTCCCAGCATCATCCCCGAGGGTGTGCATGCGGGGATCTGAATGCTCGCTATAGCTTTTCCCAATAAACCGTAACTATCAGCACAAACTTCAACAGCACCTTGAAACAAACCGAAAATATTCCACTACAGTTTGAAGCAGAGTCTAATCCGAGCGGCTGGTACACAAACTGGACGAGGAACAAAGTCAAGAATCAGACGCCATGTGCTTTGCCAAACGCCTACCCAACACCTTTTTCTCCAGCTCTAAAGTAATTAAACTTCAGCAGCACACTGATGAGGTTTTTTCAGTGTCACAAAGTCAAATATTAGTTAAACACTACCTCTGGTTTGGGGACGAAGGCCCGTCCGGGGATGGTGAAGCAGTTGTGGACAGTGCAGAGATTCTGAGCCATGATGGAAAGACGACTCCTCTGTTTGCTGCCTGTGCTGGCCGTCAACCTCTGGATGGAAAAAACAACTGCTGAAAGTTACTGAAGCATATTAAACGTGTCCTAAAGATGATTTTTGCATCACAGACAGAGAAGAATTAAGCAAACATCAATAAAGCCTGTTGGCCTGAATCATGAAAGGCCCATCCCAAATCTATTCATCTCAGCTGCAAAGTATTTTTAATTATGAATCAAGGAATCAATATTAAATCACAACAATAAAATAGAATGAAATGAATAAAAATGTCTGCAGAGTAACGATTGCTCAGGAAATCTGCAAACACGGGTGTTTGACTTTATTTAGGGTCTATGTGGGTCACGTGGAGTTCACCCACCTCTGCCACCTCTTTCTGGAAAGTGAGCGTGAGTCGGGTGCGTCCAAACGTGAAGGGCCCCGTTCTGTTCGCTACGTTTTCCAGCCACTTGATGATCAGCGGGGTTGAGACGCTGAATGGGAGATTCCCTATGATGTGAAGGTTTGGAGGGTCTGTGAAGACACACACACACACACACACACACGTTTTAGTCACACGTATTTCCCTCAGTTTGATTGCCGTAACAGCTTACGTACGCTCATCCTCTTACCTCCCTCCCATGGCTTAGAGATATTTGTTGGGAATCCTCGATCCAGTCTGTAGGTGAGTATGTCACCGTGGACGATCCTCAGCCTGCCCGGTGCTGCCTCAGACAACAGCTGTGCAAATGGAAAAAATAAACAGGTAACAATCATTTTAAAAAGAATAAAAGGACTCATCAGTCACTCTGCAAGCGGCCACAGCTGCAAAGAGAGGGAGCCGGCTCCTGCAGGTGAGGACGTTTGAGCCGTTTGTGCAGAGTGACATCGTTCAGCCAGCCTGGATCCGGCCGTTCTGCTCACCTTCAGTCCGGGGATGAAGCGTGTGTCTTTCTCCACAACAAGCAGGTCTGCGGCCCCAGCATTGAGGATGGAACGGGTGAGGCCTCCGGGACCCGGCCCCACCTCACACACGTGGGCATCTCTCAAGCTGCCCGCCTGGCGCACTATTTTGTCTGAGAATACAGAGAGGGAGCACTCAATATTCATTTATAGTAATTTCCTGGGATACATTCTCAATTCGTGCAGCCTATAAATTATAAGATGTTCTTCAATCAAATGTTTTCATCAGAGAGTCGGGCGTCCAAATTGAGATTAATAGAGTGTGATGCTGCAATATCTGCTCTCCTCTGTGTGATGAAGATGAAAAGCATTAATCTAACAGTCACCTTGTCCAAGGACGAGAGAGCAGATCAAAGCTGCACTGCATCGCTGATAATTGTGTTAAGGCTCAGCTCTCAAGGGCTACAACAACTGAGCTGGTCCATTCGCATTAGTAGGAGATCTACATAACCTCACCTACAAAGAAAGCCTGTCGGTTTCGATGCCTTCAAACAAGGCGGTGCAGCACCGTGCAATCAAGTGCATGTAACACGCTACTGTACCCTGAGAAGGACCTCAAGGGTCTTGGTACACTGCAGACGGGGCAAAAGAAGAAGGAGGAATGAAAGAAAATAAAATGCTGGATGACTAACCTGTGAGCCTCAGGTCCAGCAGAAAGTTCTGGGACAGCTGTTTCTCTGCTCGCAAGTTGTACAGCTTTATGAGCTCACCTACAGTCGGCAGGGGAGGCAGGCGGAAGGAAGCCAGCTTCCCCGAGGCAGCCATCACTGGGGAGAAGGCTGTGAGAAACAAAGGCAGAAAGCTGTGAGACTAAATGTGACTGATGAGCCTCCTCAGCAAAGAAAAACACAATCTCACAGTATTAATAAGAAATTCCTTTGTTACAGCAGCTACAATAAAAACCCCCAAAACAAACATAAAACAACCGACTAGCGGAACAAAAAGTGGAATGGTGAATAACTCAGTAAAATATGATAAAACGAATATATTAATAGGGTCAAGACCAATCTGGACAAATAAAATAAGAACTAAACGTAAAAAAAAGTAACAAATTAAAACAAGTGAAAATCAACACAGCAAAAAATGTTTTAATTATTTTTTTATTGCTTCCCTACAACACCAGTGAATTTTTAATCAAACAATCAAGATGTGATTGACCTGCACACTTTTAGCTTCGGTTCAAATGTTCAAGAATTACCCAGTCTCAGCTAGACGTGGGAATCACCATACATCCCACGATACGATATTATCACAATACTTAACGCACGATACGATATTATTGCAATTTTTAAAAATATTTTGCAATATTCAGATTCTGTACATAATGGTAAACTTTGATATTAGATAAAATGAATATTGATAAAGTCTCACACTCAGTCTTTCTCTCATTTCAGTCAGTTATATTGGTGACAAACTGAACGGTTTGTATTACAGTCTAGTCCAACTTAACTGAATGCAACCATCTGGTACAATTATAGCTATTCTGAACTATGCAATTTATGAAAACTATGCAGCCCCTTCAGCAACTGAAGAATTTGAAAGTAAATTAAAACAAAATATAATTTTACATTAAATAAAAAAAAGTTTTAAACTTAATTAAAAATAAAACATGTCTTAAATTAAAATAAGTAAACTGTCATGTTTATTGCTGCCAAAAAAAAGTTAAACACATTTGGACAGTGAAGGAATGTCAGGATTCTTGCTCAGAAAAAGGATCAACATGCTCTGAAGTCAGAGCACAAAAACCTTTTTTGTAACAAAATATCGATTTGTGCTGTCCCTGTATCGATACATTATTAGCAAACAAAATATCACGATACTACACAGTATCGATTTTTTTCCCCCACCCCTAGTCTCAGCTCAACTGAACCATGGACTTATAAACTGCTTCATGACCAGGTGAGACCTGTTTCTTTACAGTTTGGTGGCATGTTTAGCAGATAAAAGACCAGGAGCTGAGTCCTAGTACTGAACTTGTATTTGGTACTTTTTCCACTGGAACTCTGAATATGAAGTACAAAAAGATGTTGATACAAGAGAAGGAGGCAATCGCTGAAAAACCCACATAAACCTGTCACAGAACA